AAAACTCCCAAGTCCGGAAGGGCTCTGGGTTCAAATGTTTTGGGTGAGTGACATTCAGTCTGGACCACCTGTGGCAGAAAGGGCCACCAGAGCTCAAGTCCATTCTATAGAAGAGAACATAGGGTAACCCAAGGGCCTCGGCAGGTGCCTCAAATTCAATGCCCATTCCTTACCGTGTAGAAAAGGGTTCCCCTCCACTCCCTCATCCTGTAGATGGAGTTTCTCTCTACTTCCTCACTCTATCGAAGGGGGTTCCTCCTCATCCCCAGGACATCCTTGCTCCTAATGAGGGCTCTACATCCTGACAGGCCCACCTGCCATGTGACCTCACCAAGATATGAACCATCACCCAGCGCAACCAACATGGGACATCATTGTGGCTGTGCCTTTCTGTGCCTGCCAGGCAGTTTTAAACCTCAGTATGTCCCTTGTCACTCCATCTAGGCCAGTAAAGGACACTAAGAATTCCCTTCTATAGACAGAGCCCATGTTGGAGAAGCTGTGTGTGGGTGCTCTGGCAATAGGAACCCACAGAAAGCTGGTGGCGGCAAATGCAGAGCATGGGAGTGTACTTGAGCCCTGGTTCCTCCGTGCACTGGCTCATCTTTACATATCCCAGTGCCTGGCACACAGCAGGCACTTAGCAAACATGTAAGATGAACAAACCAACAGATCAAAACCTTTACACAAAGAGTCTTTGGGTCTCGGTTTCCCTTTTGCAACAGGACTAGATGCTGTCTCTTGTATCTCAATATCCAGGCTCCAGGAGCAGCTGTCACAATGCCCCTGTCCCTGCTTCTCTCCAGCTGTCTCTGGAGACCTTTGGAATCTATTATACCCTACTCATCAAGCCCCTACCCACTGCTTCCCTGCCAGCCCAGAAAAGCCTCCTTCAACACATTTAACCCCTATCTTTCCTTCTGGGAGCTACTGTGGTCCTTCCACAAAGTCTCCCTTGACCTGAACCCCAGCCCCAGACCTTTCAATTCCCATACTCCATAGACAATGAAGCCAAGTTCAACTCAGTGGAGAGCAGGGAATAGGGTTGTCTCTGGCCACTGTGGAATCCCAGTCCTTCCTAGGGGCTGAGCTGGTGTGCACGATTTCTGCTGTCTTCGTGTTATCTTGACAGCATCACCTACTCTGGATACCAACCCCACTGCAGGTGTCCATCACCTGGGAGTTAGCCACCCGGTTTCCTCCCTCCCTCTCCTCCTCCCTCCCTTGTCCCCTCCCTCACTCTCTCCCTCATTATTTCTCTTCCTCCCTCCCTCCCTCCCTTCCCTCCACCCTTTCCCTTCCCTTTCTCCTCTCGCCTCCCCTCCCTTTCCTTTCCTCCCCTCCTGTTGACTTAGTCTCATTCTCTACACAGTAACATCTCTGAGACCTCAGGTGAGTCTGCACTCTCTAAAATCAGCCGCCCATCACTCATCTCTTAGGACTTTGAGGAACACTGACCATAACAAGCTGTTTCCCCCCCCCCCCATACAACCAGGGTGCCTGCACACTGCCACAGGAAGCTGAAAATGGCCCGTTTACATGTTTTCCCCCAGCTCTCTCGTGTTTAATGTAAGCAGTGATGGATCCTGTAACTGTACACCATCAATGAATACTGGAGAATAGTTAAGTCACTGTCCTGTTTGTCCAAACACAATCATAAAAGAGGGAGTAGAGAGGAGTGAGTGTCTATGCCTTGGCCGAGCTGGTCCAGAAGAGCCCTCCAGAACCCTGCCTCCCTCTCTTCCAGATTTCATCCCTCCTCCTCCAGTCAGCTGTCACCAGTGTGTGGGGGACAGGAAACAGAATTACAAGATTAACAGTGAGCCGGCCTTTATCACAGCTGACTCCAAGAGCCACAGTGCCCGCTTGTCACTACCTACTGCAACCTGGGGGCTGGGACAACAGCCCAAAATAAATCCTGAACAAAGTTAGAACTGAGAGTCCCAGGGAGATCTCCCCGGAATCAGAGAAAGGGCCCTGAGAATGGGCTGGGACCCAGGTTCCCTATTGCATTTTCTCAAGTAATTCTATTAATTTGTTTGTTTGATTGTTTGCTATTTTGGTTTTTCAAGACAGGTTTCTCTGTGTAACTAACAGCTCTGGCTGTCCTGGAACTGGCTTTGTAGACCAGGCTGACCTCAAACTCACAGAGATCTGCCTGCCTCTACCTCCCTAGTGCTAGGATTAAAGGTCCGCACCACCACCTCCCAGCCAAGTAATCCTTATAAGACCCTTAAAATATGTAGGCTACACTTACTTGTGCCCATTTCACAAGTGGGGAAATCAAGTCTCTGGGGGGATCAGCTCACTTTCCCAGAGTCACACAGCAAGTGGCACAGAGCAAGGGACAACCCCAGCTTTGACTGACCTTGAAACCCTGTTAAGTCAGCCACTTTGCTTCCTCCGCCACTGTCCCTAAGGCCACCTGCAAAGAGCTGGCTAATGGCACATCCTGCCTAATCCCCCAGGAGGTCTAGCCTTCCTGACCCAACTCCTCACCACAAACACCTATGATTCTTAGGCTGGGAGACTGACTCCAACATGACAAGCAGTCGTGACTGGTCCCCTCTTCCCTCCGCCCCCCCCCTCCCCACTGACACCTGAACAGAAAGAGACCAACTCAAACTGGAACAGGGTGGTGGGGAGGGCCCGTTAGGACATTCGCATGCCCTCGCTCTCAAACACCTGTGTCTCTTTTCATTTCTGACACCTGCTCCTGGGAGCTTCTGACGAGCACCATCCAGCAAGGAAGTCTATTAAAGGAAGGAAGAGAGCAGGCAAGGGCTGGGGGGGGGGGGGATGATCAGGGGCAAACTGAACACAGGCCCCTGCGCTACAAACAAGAAAAAGCAAGCAGTTCCAGGGCACCTCCTTTACCATGAACCAAACAAACAGAACCAGGAGGCAGAGGGGCCTGATAGGAAGGCTGTGTTCGGGCAGTGGTAAGAGGTCTGCGGGACCTCCCTCCACAGGACAGGAACCTGGAGCATTCTCATTTGTACAGTGATCTTGTCTGGTTGTGTTTTCCAAGACTTTCTGTGGGACTGTCCAGAGAAGACTCCAGAGGAGAAGGGGGCTGCAGCCAGTGTAAGTCAAGAGGCTGCAGCTGTCAAGAAGGGTGATGGCTGGAGTTCAGTCTGACAGGAGACAGATGCTGAATGCTAAGATGTGTCAGGAAGAGTCAGACCAGGAGGGGAGCCCAGCGGTACAGCATGGACTTGCTGTGTGCAAGACCCTTGATTCGGTCCTCAGCACAGAGATACCTTAAGATTGAGAGGTTGGGGAAGGAGGTTGCCTCCTGACCTCTTCAATCCATCATGCGCTGGTGGGAAGGATAGAAGAGGTGAGTGAAGCTAAGACCCTTTGGTGACCTGTGCTTCTACAAGGTAATCCAGGTAGGACCTTCACGTAGCTCTCAACAAGGCTTCCCTCTGCAGCAAAGCCAACATGAGCATGGGATGTTGACTCTGAACTTGGCTCTCTGGGGGCCTCAGGTAGTTGTATTCTTCACTGCGTAGATAGGATTTTTGTTGACACAGACTCCTCTGACCCCAGAACTATAGCAAGTGCCAACTTAAAAATGCATTTGGAAAATATTGAATAAATATTCCTGGGCCTGGAGGGATGGCTCAGCTGTTGAGAGCATTTGTTGCTCTTCCAGGGGACCTGAATGTGATTGCCAGCACCCACATAGTGGCTCACAACCATCTGTAACTCTAGCTCCAGGGGATCTGACGCCCTCTTCTAGCCCCCATGAACACTGAACATACACAGTACATAGGGACATGTGCAGGGAAAACACTCATACAAATCAAGTAATATTTTTAATTAAATTAATTTCACAGCACACCATTCTCAGACTAATATTTTGACTCTAAGAACATGGGACCTTCATCCCTTTTTCTGTTTTTGGCCCCTTGCCCTTCTTCGAATGACCATGTCCTAAATCTAACTGACGTTCCCTTTTCTTCTCTTCCAGAGTGTCGTCAATGATTTTATTTTATTTTGAATCACTAAACCCACCAAGAGGGAAAGAGAGACAAAGAGAGAGTATGTATGTGTGTATCCATGTGTGTGTGTTCCTGTGTATGCATGCCTACGTATTTGTGTGTATGTGTGTGCACACGCACACGTGCACATGTGCATATGCATACGCATCTGATCAATCACTTGGTGTGATGGAGGTGTGATTTGTAATTCTTTTCTCACGTGGTGGGTCAAGCCGGAAGTTAAGAGAACAAGTGATTAACTGCCTTGCGTGTTCACATTTCAATCAGACCCAATTCCCTCTCTACCTTTGTTCTAACCCTTCCTATTTGTCAAATCAGTGACTACAACCACAGGATATGTAAAACTAGCAATTGATTTTTTAGCACCGGCTCTCAACCCACCCACGCCCCTCCCCCATGAGGTGCCCTGGACACCACACCTGGTGTCATGTTGGCCTATGTTTCACCACCCCCAGGAAATGGAGTTGTTCACTTCTGAGATGAATGAGAGGAAAAAGGAGATGGACAGGAGGAAGAGGAGACCCCTGGCCAGCTGGGTTCTGGTCTCCTACCCAGGCCTTCACACTGCGGGCTGCCTGGAAGCAACCGTCCAGATCACAAAGCTTATCAGAAAAAGGCTGGGGCCCTGGGAGATGGCTCACTCCTTAAAGTGCCTGCCATACAAGCATGAGAGCCTGAGTTCAAATCCCCAGAACCCATGGAAACAAAAATAAAATCCAGGTAGGTGCAGTGAGGCTTCCCTGCAATCCCAGTTGGGGGAGGGGGGACACATGAGGATTCCTGGATCTCAATGGCCAGACAGCCAGGCTGAATGAGGGAGCCCAGGTTCAGGGAGACACTGTGTCTCAAAAAATAGAGAAGTGATTGAGCTATGAGAGAGAGAGGAGAGAGAGCACAGACAGACGGAGACGGAGAGAAGGGAATGAGGCATCTCTGGCTCTGTTGGCTGCTGGGGGGATTTGTGGGGTGCATGTGGCCCCCATTTCTTACCTTTGCATCCTTGACATCCTGTGCAGTTCCATGTCATCGCTTCCCCGAAAGCCTTTAGCGAAGGGGTTGTTCTCAATTTTCAGCTGTGTAATCTGAGAGGACGAAGGAGAACAAGTTGGTTCACACTTGATTACCACAAGAGGACCTTGGGACATGAGTACATAACAAATGTGGAAGAGGGGGTCCAGACAACCCCGAGGACACAATGCAGCGTGTCACAGTGCCGGGACTCCCCCTTAGGGGAGGCTTTGAAAAATGCCCTAGGTCAGATGGTTTTAGAAAGAAGGGGGAAACCTGGATTTGGTTTATTCATTAATTGGAGTCATATTCTGCAGTGTGTGTGTGTGTGTGTGTGTGTGTGTGTGTGTGTGTGCGTGCATGTGTGCATACATGCACATGTGTGTGTTGAGCATTTTGCATTTCAAAGAAAAAGGAAGCCTCAACATTTGGCCGTTCTTCCTTAGAAAGCCATGAGTGTTGACATGGTGGCTGTATACCCCGCACACTGTAGTAATCTCTTGATTGATCATGGAAAACACATCTTGATCATTGCTTTCAAAGGTCCGGTCATGCCCCATTTCACCATTTTGCAGGCAGCACTGACTAGCCCAGGTGTAAAAGGCTGCCCAGTACAATAAACACCAGCACCCGAGGCTCCCGCACATGGTAGCCGTCCCGTGGCTCCGACCCTCTGCGGTTTTCTAGGCAAGGAAGTGGGAACTCTGTCTTTAAAATCTGTGTCACAACCCTGAAGCAGAACTGTGTGTGTTTTTCATGTTTTGGTCCAAGGCCCAGCACTTTAATTTAAGCCATCAACACATATTATATTAGTGTCAACGTAATAGTGGATCCAGGTGGCAGACTGCATCCATATGGAATTTGCTACAAGTGTATCCTAAAAGCTGTGTACGAATTTAACTGTCACACACAGAATCATATGACAGACAACCAGGACACCAGGACACTATAACTGCCATCAGTGGCTCAGGAATCCCCCTAGGGGCCACTGCCACATCTAAGAGCATCTGTATGGTGCTTTGCTTAAATTGGGGTCTGTTTTGTTTTGTTCGTGTGCATAAGTGTGTACCCATGCTTGTGTGCATGCATAGTCACATGTTTAGGGGCATGCACATGAAAGCCCAAAGTTTGACTCTAGGTTTCCTCCTGTGTCTTTCTGCAAAGTATCTGCTGTGGCAGGATCTCTCCCAAGAGCCCAGAGCTTGCATATTCAACTAGCCCAGCTATCCAGTTGCCCTGAGGCTCCCATCTTCACCTCCTGAGTAATGAGACTAGAGGTACCTGAATGTGCCAGCTCAGCATTTGTGTGCTTGCCAGTGATCCAAACTCCAGACCTCAGGTTTGGGCAACAACTACTTTGCAGAACCAGCTCAATTTTAAGATTTGTTTTTTTAAAAAATTTACTTTGTTTTCCTGAGATAGAGTCTCACTATGTAGCCCAGGCTGGCCTCCAGCCTAAGGTAATTCAAAGTGCTAGGTTTGTAGGATCACAGGTATGAGCCCCTACGCCCAGCGATGATTTTTTTTCTTTAAATCAACTCCCTTTCTATTTAAAAGTATTTTATTCAGAAATATTGCTCACGACTCTATATGACAAAGAGAATCCAGGCATGCCAAAGCCACTTGGTATTTAATAATAAGATGAAAAACTCTTTTGACATCCACAGGGCATTCTGAAACCAAAGTCTACCTTCTGGTTTTAAGGAGAGAAGGTTCTAGAACAAACTAGTCCTGAACTAAAACTCCCTCATGGAAAACTAGAGAGTTCATGGATGGGATTGAGTATTTGTCTGTGACTCATCCACCCAGCGGCACTCATACTTCAAAAGATGAACCTTGCCTCCAAGCTTGATGACCCAAGTTCAATCCCTGGGTCCTATATGAATAGGAAAGTGATAACTGACTCCCACAAGTTGCCCTCTGTCCTCCAAACCAATGCAGCACCCTCTCCCTCCCTCCAACCTCTCTCTCTCTCTCTCTCTCTCTCTTTCTCTCTCTCTCTCTCTCTCTCTCTCACACA